CTGTATGTTCCATTTATCCTTAATGATGTTGTAATTCACCTGGAACTGACCAAACTTAGGAGGGAGTGAGTTTAAAATGAACTGTACTACAAAGAATTCCTTTACCTCCATGTCCATTGATTTCAACTTTGCCGCTTGATTGATCATGTCAGTCACATGGTCATGAATGGGTCGTGACCAATCAAACTTCTTAGTAGTTAGCTCAGTCAACAGGGTGCCTATAATGGACTTGTCAGTAATGTCCGATTGTGCATACTCTTTTACCTTTGCCATAAGTTCCCTAGCATTTTCAGCCTTTGGCATTGATGGTTTCACATTTTCAGCCATAGTCATCTTCAGAAAGCTCAAGCTCAGCCTATTCGACCTTTTCCAAGCCTCACGAAGAGTTCTTTCCTCTTCAGTACTGGTCTCTGTGATGGCTGTAGGCTCTTGTTCCATAATGATTGCTAGGTCTAAGTCCATAACACCTAGCTGGAATCGAACTTGTTCAGCCTAATCATCATAATTAAGCCCATTGAACTTGACTACGCCATTGCTCATGCCATATGCATTCATAGAGACTGAATCCATTTAACACATGCTTAAACACTTATGCTTTGAATAAACTTAATGGATTCGGATAGTCAACTGTCATCAATTATGCATCCAAGTTTACCTTTGGGTAATGCCTAAATACACAATTTATCTATAATGATGCTAATAAACAACTTTAATTGACAACCAATCACTCAAACCAATATGCAAGTCATCTTTGGATATACAAACATATTATGAAGTGCTTACATGTCTCCTTAATGTCATTAATCAGATGGAATGATCCACCTTTGGGTGATCTCCTAGCGTTATAATTAATGAGCTAAATTGTTCACCCTTTATGTTATCATATAGCATTAAACAATTTTGAACAATTTATAACACACAATTAAATGCTTAAAGAACTTTTAAAGCTAGGCCACTTTGGTGACTAACAAGCTACCCTTAAAATTAAGCACTAAATTGTGAAGTTCTCATTATGATAATGTAATTTAGAATTAATTAACTTGAGAATTTAATCACTTTGGTGAGTAAAATTCACTTTGATGTAATTCTAAAATTATTTATAAATTTTATGAATTATATTCCTTATTCTGCCGTAAAATTCCTATGCACGGTCGTGCTTTTACTTGATGCATGGTCATGCTTAGATAAAGTAAGGCCATGCTCATTTCTGATGGATGCCCCTGCTTCCTGATGCATGGTTGTGCTTATAATTGATGCATGGTCGTGCTTCCTGATGCATGGCCGTGCTTATAATTGATGCACGATCGTGCTTACAATATGCAAGGTTGTGCTTCCATTATGCAAGGCCGTGCTTTTTCCTGATGCATGGCCCTGCTCCCTGATGCATGGCCCTGCTCCCTGATGCATGGCCCTGCTCATTGATACATGGCCCTGCTCATATTATAGATTCAAATCCAATGTTTCTAACTTTCAAAACCTTAGGGTTTTCAATTATTAAATCCAAAGCAATTATTCAACATCAAAATAATGTCAATCCATTATATAAAATACCTAGGGTTCATGTAATTTGGGAAAAACTTTAATGGAGAACCGATCTCTTATGGAGAATCAACGAAATTCACAACCTAGCTTTGATACCAACTGTTAGAATTTTCTTTAATCCATTATGTAATTTCTATTATGCAATGACTATTATGAAATTACCTTTTCCCTTTTGAGATCTTGAATTACATTACTCTCACAACACAATATATGGTTTTCACACAATTAAGGGTTTAAAGAGCACTAACCTGAATCCATTGTTCTTTGATGTTATCTCTCTCTTTGATGTCGTTGATTCCTTGGTATTTTCCCCAACTCTTCCTTCCTCTTTTAGTTTCTCTCGGATGGTTGAGAGAAAGTTCCTTTACACGTTTATCGTTAGCTCACTCAGAGACCGTGAAAGTGAAAAATAGGGAATGTTGTAACCCTCATTTGATAACCACTCATTAATTTATATCAAGGGAGAGGGGAGGGTTTCCTTATAATTGTATTTACAATTATACCCTCAATGACTCTATATTTTATATTTAACCACCATTACATTAAATCATTAATTAGAGTCATGCTATAAGTAACATAGGCCACTATAACAAGATTATTAAAATAATTTAACAACTAATTGTCACATAAGTGATGTCTAGTTTTATAAATTTTTTTTGTCTATTTCCAATCTTGGTTTCAGTTAAAGAACAATATTCATATGAAATCTATTATCGTTAAATATTTTTGGGTCTCATAACATAATTATTTTTATCTTAAAAATATTTTTTTAGGTAAAATTAATCTTTTCATCCCTTAACTTTAAGATAAAATTCACTTTATTCTGTAACTTTTTTTTTATTCATTTTTGTCCTCGAAGTATTTTTTTTCTTTCAAGTTAATTATTTCCATTAGCTCTATTACATAAGCTAATAGAGATGTCCTATGTGACACTGAAGTGGCTTAACACCATTTATTTAATCATACATGGACTTTTTTATTTAAAAAATAATTAAAAAATGCAACTCTCCCACTTCTCCTTCATCTTCTCGCAGCTCTCTCACCTTTTTCTCCCCAAATCTCCAGCCCATAAGCCCTACTCCCCCTCTCGCAACTCCCTTTTCCTCTTCTCTTTTAGCTTTGCCACCTTTTCTCCCTAATCCACAGCCTTGTTTCCCCTTCCCATAGCCTTCATTTCCCTTCATAGCTTATCCTCTTTTCTTGCAGCTCTGTTATCCCTTCCCTCCAACCCACCAACTTTGTTTACCCTTCTCGCAACTTCTGTTTCCTCTTCCCGCAAGTGAAGCGCTATCAACAATACAAATAAACATCAAAATAATGGAAGATTCATATTTCACAAAAAATTAAATAATTATACATAAAAAGTAATGAAATTTGGAGTTTCATGCAAATCTGAAATAACCCAATAAACAATAGAGTGAAAAGTTGCAAACTTTAAACCGAGAGAGAGCATGATGAATGTATTCTATAAATAAAATTTATAATTAATAATTGAATATGAATTAATACTTTGCTAATTTATTCTATAAACTAAAGGGTGAGGGAGGTGTGGGAAGAGGACGGGGAAGAGAGGGGGCTGTAGGGGAAATGGGGGTTGCAGGCTAGTTGTTGGGGGGAAGAGTGAGGGAGCTACACGAGGAGGAAGGAGAAGGGCTGCATGAAGGAAAAATGGGAGACAAAGCTGGTGGGTTTGGAGGGAAAAGGGTAGAAGAGTTGCAACAACGAGAGGAAGAAAGAAGAGCTGCAACAATGGGAGGAAGAAAGAGGAGCTACGGGAAGAGTAAAGAGGAGAGGGGAAGGAAAAGTGGGAGTCAATGCTACCTAGACAAATCTTATTATTTTTAAATAATTTTTTAAATGAAAAAATTCAAGTTAGATTAAATAAACGACGTTAGGCCATCTCAGTGCTACTTAAGACATCTTTGTTAAATCATGTAACAAAGTTAACGGAAAGGACTAACGTAAGAAAAAAATAATACTTCAAGAATGAAAATGAATAAAAAAAAAAGTTAGATAAAGATAAATTTTACCCTTAAGGGACGAACAAAATAATTTTACTTTTTTTTTTATCTTTTTTTTTATCAATAAACTCTTATGTTGTACTAATTTATGAAATTGATGAAATAAATTTTAAAAATTAATTTAAAAAAGAATTTTATACATATATTTTTGAAGGATTTTTTTTAAAAAATAATTAACTTAAGTAGATGCACAATTTCTAATCCATCAAAACCGTAGGATCTTCGGTAGATATTAGGGCAACTTAACCAACAATCCTAAAATTGGCAAACTTGCTTCAAAATAATTCTAAGCAATTGCTGCATGTAATAAAATATTTCTATATTTTTTATTTTCTGCATGGAAGATAACATGTATTATTCTAAATAAAATATAAAATGCATTATATATTTTATATATAGAAAAATATTATAATAAAAATGTTTATATTCCATTTATGAAATAACAAAATAAAATTTCTAAAATTAATAAGAATAAATAATAATATAAATTATATTTTTAAATTTAAATGAATACACAATAATTAAACAAATAATAATGAGTTTTAAATAAATGAAATAATGATAAATAAATCAGAAATACCTCTTGAGATTTCATGATAAAAGCATTTTTATATACAATTTATCATTTAAAAAAAATTATCCATCTAAATTGGTGGAGATTCTTTTTATTTTTATCTTTTTTATTTGAATAAATATTTTAAAGTTTTATAAATAAGATTAACTTTGACTTTAGTTCTTTTTTTGTCATTTTTGGTTGCATAAATTTAAAATTTTTAAAACAAGTAATGGAACAATATACATTTCAAACATTTTATTCTTAGTAAAATGAGTCATTATAATTTTTATACCTACTAAATTTTTTTAATTTGTCCTATTATTATTATTTTAATTCAAATGATAGAACATACTTATAGAAGTTACCTATTAATCACTGTTTATTCAAATTTATTAATTTTATAATATTTTAATAATTTTTTATTTTTTGAATTATTTTTAAGTTAGGCTATAAATTTAATTAATTGATTAATTGTTTTTATTTTTTAAATTTTTGTGAGTCAAAGTTAAGATTTTTGTCTATTTTAAAAATAACCGTCTAACCTATTTTTTCATTTAGATAGTCTATTTCATAATCATACTTAAAGCGAAATTGTAATATGACAAATTATTTTTATAAAATTTAAAATTTATGAAGATTTAAATTAATAATTTTTAATTAAAACTAAATTTGATCATATTAATAAAAAATAAATTTTTTATATTTTTAATATATATATATATATATATATATATATGTATAATTTTATTTTATATTTCTTTTTCCATCGAAACAAAACTGCTAAAGCTCATTATGGGTTTTCTCGAAGCCCAAACGTGTCCTCTTAACATTAAAAAAAAAAAAAAAGAATGAAAAATAGGAGAAAAGAAATGACCGGCGAAAGAGAGACGGTTGTATTTGAAACCATTTCAAAAAAAAACTCCAAGGATAAGAGTTAAGAGACGCAAGAGATACGAACTTCTTCTGCTCTGCTGCAAGTTCTCAACTTCACTACAACCTCAGATTCCTTTGAATTCCCATTACTTGTTCCACTTCCTCAAATCTCAAGTAAGCCCCTTCTTCGTCCTCTTCATTTTCCTTTCACTATATATCTTTCTCGTTTTTCAGTAACTAACATCTTAGATTGTCCAAATAAGAAAAATGAATAATAATAAGGCTTTAAGTGTGCTTATATTTTTTAGTGTGTTTACCAATTTTGTGGCTCTAAAGCGTCTTGGTGAATTGCTTGTGTTGGTTCACTTGAGTTTTTTTTTTTTTTATTTGTGCCCAAACTACATGCACCTTAGTGGTTGCAGTTGCAGTTATCGTTTTGTTGGTTTGTTTGGTTCTTGTAGGCATTGTGTGGACTATATTTAACATTGAGTGTATTAATAACTTCTGTATTTTGGGTTTTCTGCGTTTTTGCTTTGTGAAGTTGGTGAACGACAAGTCTTTGAGAAATTTTGGATCTGTTTGCTGCGAAACCCTAATTTTGTGCTGCAAGGCTTCGGAAACTGAGGTTCTCTTTTGATGGAAACTGAGGATGGGGCTAATAATGCTGATAATGCGGATCAGTTAGGACTAGATCGGAGTTTGGATTTTGAAGGTGTGAATAATGGGGTGACAATTGATGGTGGAAATGGTGTTGCTGAAGGCAAAGAAGTTCAGGGTTTGAATGATGAAGTTGTAAATTATGGGATGGAAATTGAAGGTGGAAACGGTGTTGCTGAAGGTGAAGAAGTTTGGGGCTTGAAAGATGAAGCTGTAAATAATGGGCTTACAAATGAAGGTGGAAATGATGTTGCTGAAGGTGAAGAAGTTCAGGGCTTGAAGAATGACACTGTAAATAATGAGGTGGCAATTGAAGGTGGAAATGGTGTTGTTGAAGGTGAAGAGGTTTGGGTCTTGAAGAATGAAGTTATAAATAATGGGTTAGTGATGGCTAATGGGAATGGTGTTGTTGAAGGTGAAGAAGTTTTGGTCTTGAAAAATGAAATTATAAATAATGGGTTGGCAATTGCTGAGGGGAATGGTGTTGCTGAAGATGGAGAAATTTGGGGCTTGAAGAATGAAGCTGAAAATACTGAAGAGGTAATTGCTGATGGGAATGATATTGCTGACAGTGGAGAAGTTCAGGGCTCTAAAATTGAAGCAGTAAACAATGAGATCGTAATTGCTGATGGAAATGGTGTTGCTGATGGAAATGGTGTTGCTGAAGGTAAAGATGGCTGGTGCTTGAAGAATGGAAAAGTAGATAATGGAGTGGCAATTGCACATGTGTTTGGTGTTGCTGCAGGGAATACTTGTGCAATTGAATGTTTTCAAACCTATAAGAGGCGCAAGCATGTAAAGTCAAGTTCAGAAAGTAAAGTCCAGGGAGACAGCAGAGAATATGTGGAAGCTGTGAGTCACCTTTCAGACCAGGTTTTCTCTACTGCTTTTATGACATGTGTGCTTGTGATGCTTCTCTATAGTCTATTGCGACTTGTCACTTTGCGTAAGTTGTTTAATGTGTTATGTATGACATTTTTGTAGAATTGTTAGTGGTGCATGCTGCTAGAAATTTAGGTTTATATAGGCACACAATGAAGGATAGGAAAGAGGTAAATCAGCTTGTAAGATGCACATGTGCCTGTAACTTGTAGTTTTTGAATAATCTACAAAAAAGTGTTGATATTAATGCATATGCCTAATTTATACAGATTGGGGTGCGCTTGTAATTATTTATTGCTGTTTTAGTCATACTGAGCAAAAAATGTTGACTGTGGGGAGAAATTATCATTCATTGGTTATTCATGGCTGTTTTTACTCTCTGGCTATATTCGGATGGAGTGGAGTGGTTGGTGTTTTAGCACTGCATTTTAAGACATTTGTTCTAACCTATGATATGAGGTTTCTTGTGTCTGGTTGCTTACAGTGGTTTCTAATGCTTTGTTAAGATGGAAACTGAAATAGAAAGGAAAGAAATAAGAATAAAAGTGTTAAGAAACTTGGGCCTAACTCACTTCCAAAAGCTAGCTTAACACACCCTGTGAGGCTTCTTGTTAAGATGGTTTACACAAGCCCTTATAAGGAGTATTCTAACTCTATTCTTAACCAATGTTATCAATGGCAGATGGCAACTCATGGCGGAAACTCAAAAAACTGCCATAAAGTTATGGCGGCCGCATGGCGGGTTATGGCGGATATAATAAAATATATAAAAAATACTATAGGTCACAGAAAATAATTAACTCAAAATCTATGTAACATAACTTCCAATCTAAAGTATAATTCAATACAAAATATACAATTATCAAATGTCAAGTTAACAATAAAAATAAAGATTATCAATTTAGTCCTCTTCTTCAACTCCAACATAATCATCCTCTTTCTCATCTACCAAGGCATATCCCTCTTCCTCTTCTCCTTTAGATTGTGGAAGATTAAATTCTAATTCATCTTCTGTTTCTTCCAACATCTCTTCATCTTCTAATTCTTCATCATCATCTTCAAGAACCATTTTTTCTTTTCCTTTTGCTGTTGAACATGTCTTGATCTTGGAAACTTTTGCAGCTTTGATAGTGATATCACTTGATGGACTCTTTCTTTTCTTAGAATGACGCCTAGTATATGTTGTAGGCTCTCTAATTCCAAAAGCTTCATAAACAGTTGCCCAATTTAAAGTGATATCACCATAAAAAACTAAGTCATTTCCAGCATCCTCATCTAGAGCATCATCATCCATTTTTTCAACCAACCACGCATTACACTCATCAATATCATTGAGTGTAATTGGATCAATTACATCTTTAAGATTGTAACATTCTTTACGTTGTTGGTTGTATTTCACATAAATCAAGTCATGTAATTTTTTGTGATCAAGCCTATTTCTCTTCTTTGAATGAATCTGCAACGTGAGTTTAATTATAAGAATATTAATTAGTTTATTTCTAATTTTTAAAAGAAAGTAGTAGGCTTGAGAGATAGGAAATTACTTGCTCAAAAACACTTCAGTTGCGTTCACATCCGGATGCACTACATGTCAAGCTCAAAATTTTGGTAGCTAGTTGCTGCAAATGTGGAGATGAATGTCCATACATTCTCTACCATTGAGCTATAAAATGAAGGATAAATTATAACTCTAAAGATGAAGTATAACCTTAAAATTAAAATATTGAAGAATTTGATGAATTACCAGGAGCCATGCTTTTTCTTTGTGATTTTGCAAAGTCGGACCGAAAGAGACCACCACTGCTCTTATAAATTGGTAATTCAAGTAATATGCTTTGTTGGACATCCCGACTTGGCACCAACCTCTTGATACAATCATACAACCCATTTGTAACATCCAAATCAAATTCAATTTGAGGGTTGTCAGTAAAATTCTGGATTTAAAATACTGACAAGTCCATCTGTTATCAATGATTGCAAACACATCTTTGTATTTACTTTCATTATTTTTGAATGACTTCATAATAGTTTCTTTATTTTTCTCCATTGCTTCATAAATATACCCCATGGCTGGTCTTCTTTCCCCGTCAACCAAATGTAACACCCGGACAAAAAGAGCCATGATTTTCAAAGTGTACACCACATTATTCCAAAATACAGGATTTAATAGAATTTTGGTTGCTTGCTTCCTTTTAGCTTCAATTTGATAACTTGTTTTTTGCACCATTCCTCAGAAGTAAACATCTTTCTAAGATTTGCTTTTTTTTGGTGAAGCCTTTCTAATGATAAAAAAGAAGTTGCAAATCGAGTAACTGCATGTCTTACCAATTCCCTCTTGTTTGTAAAATTTCTCAACAAACTCAAGGTACTTGAATGACTGTAAATAAAGCTAACAACCAATATTCCCCTTTGAATTGTCTTCTTTCTCAAAGGAAGCTTTCCAATATCTTGAAGCATAAGATCTATGCAATGAGCTGCACAAGGAGTCCAATAAAGATGTTGTCTTTTTGCTTCCAACATCTTACTAGTCAAGACATAATTGCTTCTATTATCCGTTATCACTTGCACAACTTTATCTTCTCCAATCTCTTCCACAAGAGCATCAAGCATCTCAAATAATTTTTCACCGGTCTTCACAAAATTAGATCCATCAATAGACCTCACAAACATAGTATCAGCAGAAGAGTTGACTAAAAAATTAATCAAGCATCTTTGCTTTCGATCAGTCCATGCATCTGACATGATAGAACAGCCATGTTTGCTCCATTGCTCCTTATGATCTTTCATGAGGGAGTCGGTATATTCTAGCTCTTTCTGTAGAAGTAGAACTTGAATATCATAATAACTTGGAGCTGGTAAATTTGGACCGAAAGCACCAACAGCTGTAAGCATTTCTTGAAAGCTCTTCATTTTAATGAGGTTAAAGGAAAGGCCAGTTTGATACCAAAATCGAGCTATGTATTGATGGACCCTTGCTTTGGCTTCTTTGTCACAAACTTCTCTTATATTTGCTTGTCTCAATTTTAACTTTTTCCTTTTCTCAATTGCATTTTCTGGCTTTCTACAAAACAAATCCATTGGCCCTTTCTAATTACCCATGGCAATAGTATGTGCTTGGGTATCCTCCTCATCCTCACTTTCATCATAGCTTATACTTTCAAAGCTTCTCACATTTGGCATTTTAAAGTTGTTTTGACTCTTTTTATCCTTTTAATATGCCTCAATCTCTTTTCTAACTTCTTCAGGACACTTGGGACAAGCTCTCACATTACCTTTCTATCCAATCAAATGTTGTTTCACTCTAGTGATTCCAACACTCATAACTTTTCCACAAAAGTTACATACAGTGTTGTTTGTATCACTCTCTTTCAACGAATGAGCGTATTTCCATCCTGGGTCGGATCGATTAGAAACTCTTGATGATGAAGATTCTTGTTGAGCCATGTTAAGAGAAGCTGAAATAAAGATAATGGGCTTTTTTGAGGATAAACAGAGAAAAAACAGAAAGGTGGATGAAGGAAAAATTGAACCATGGAATGAGAAAAACAAAAATGAAGAAATAAAAAAAAACTGCAAGAGAGAGGGAAAAACAAAAAAAGATGGCTACCGGAAAAAAAGGGTCGCCGGAGATGGAGGTTCAGGTCGCCGGAAATGGAGGTTCTGGTCGCTGGAAATGGAAGTTCAGGTCGCCGGAGATGGAGATGTCGCGCCGGTGAACAGAACAGAGCGGAGCGGAGAAATGAGGGTAGATCTACTTCGGAGAAGACAGATCGGAGAAGAAAAAAAAAAAAGATGATGTTTGAGAGAGGGACGATTGAGCGGAGATGGGAGACGAGCAGAGAAATAGGAGACGATCAGAGAAATCGGAGATGAGAGATGAGGGAGAAGGGTTTGAGTGAAGGAGAAGTGAGACATACCTTAGTTATGCGCAGGTCAGCCTTGGACGAGTGAGCCTTAGACGGGTCGGGTTTGGGCCCAAATAATGAAAATCGCCATTTTTCACAAATTTTCGCCATGGCCTCCGTTACCGCCATGGGCGTAATGGCCGCCCTGGCGCCGCCATGCGAAACCGCCATTTAACGGAGGCGGTGTAATGGCAGGGTTGAAATCCGCCACCGCAAACCACCATGGCGCCGCCAAACCTGCTGTTTAATAACATTGTTCTTAACTAATGTGGGACTTCTTAACACACCCCTCTCATGCCTAGGGCTAGACATCTAGTGCGTAAAGTTTGTAGGACTGGACATCTGCGGGTAGCCTAATAAGATTGGATTGCCTTTGATACCATGGTAAGGAATTTGGGACTAACTCCCAAAAGCTAGCTTGTAGGAGGACTACACAATCTTATAAGGAGTATTCTAGCTTTATTCCTATCTAATGTAAAACATCTTAATAGAAAGACATAGGAGGGATGTAAATTGAAAGGAAATAAAGTAAATTGATGTATCGTTTGGATGGATAGAAAAGAAGAAATGAAGTGGAAAAATTTGCTTCCATTTGTTTGGATGAGTGGAAAAGAGAGTAAAAAGGAAGTAAATAAATGATATAAAAAATAATTTCCATAATAATTAAAAAAAAAATTTAACTTAAAAAATCTGAAATTTTTATTATATATTTTCTCTCTCTCTCTCTCTTTATATATATATATATATATATATATATATACATATATATATATATATATATATATATATATATAATTTGGTTATAAAATAACAATTTTTATTTTTTAAACAATAAAATGAAACATGAAAAAAATTACTTCACCTAAACAGCTGAAGTTCATGCCTGCATTGGACGGAAATGTTTCAACTTGGGACTCACTGAAATAAAGGCTTTTCATCTATAAGTTCCAGTTTTCACTCAAACCAGACGTAGTAAATGACCAAAACGGACACAATTTCATCCCTACCAATTTCAGCCTTTCCTATTTCAGTGCAACAAACACACTGTAAATCCATGATAGTGAGTATTTGTAGAAGATTTATTAAGCTGAGTGATACATAGAAGGAAACATATATCAGAATGTGATAGGGTTTTAAAACTGAACTTAATTAAATTTCATGCAGACAGTACACAAACACACATTCCACTGTACAGTAGAAAACTGCCCATACCCATTCCTATAACTACAGATCATACCATTAAATAACTTTTACATAACTTCCCTATTACAATTAAATATTTGCTGCAGCACCAATAACTGTTACATAACTGCCTAATTACTCAAATAAGTGTTGCATTACTGCCCTGCCATATAACACTCTATCGTTAATTCTGGCCTGGTATTTCTTATTTCTCCTAGAGTAAACAAGCCATGTTTTGGGTTTATTCTCTGCTCAGTCCAGAATTTGATCCAAATCTTGATTCTGGGATCTAACAGAATGCTAATGTTATAGTGGAAGATATACCAAACATAGTAGTCAATCCCAGATAGCTGCGTGGAGTGGCCACCCCAAAAACACTATAGTGGCATAGCAGATAGCAGGATGACTGCTATTCTGAAGTTCTAAGTATTATATCTTATATAAAATTAATATCCAAAACAGAACAGGAAAATAAATACAGAGAAAGAAATAAACAACAGATAAGGAAATAAGAAAACAGAGAATTGGTCAGTCTCTACGAAATGTGTAGGTTTTTCAAAAGTTTTGTCAGAGATGAAGAAGATGACTGGCAATGTCTGGGTCACGTTGGAAGTTTTGTTGGGGTTGAAGAAAACAACCAGAGATGAAGACGACTGGAATAGCGGCTGAGTAATGCGTCAAAAGCTTTGCTGGAGATGAAGGAGATAACTGGAGAACAACTTTGTCACGCTAGAAGCCTCGCTAGAGATGAAGGACACAAGAAGCAAGAGAATGTCGCAGAGAGCAAAGATGGGGAAGAATGAACCAGAGAGAACTGAGAGATAAAAATGAAAACTTAAGGCTCACGAGGAAGAAGAAGATATAAAAAATGTAAATACAGGGGAAAATTCCAAGATTATCCTCATTTAAAGTCATTCAACGTTAAGAAAGGGAGGGCAAAGTCTTTGGCCAGGGATGAAATAGTGGCTGCTATGGCTGCGATTCTCCTACGATTTGGCTGCTATTCGCGGCGCAATGGCTGCTTCATTGAATGCGATGCTACAAGCTCCTCATAGCAGCAACCTGCCACTCCGCGATAGCGGCTGCTATGGCCGCTATTGACTACTATGATACCAAATGCGTTGATAGTTATTTCGTACTATTAATTTATATATGCTTTAGTCGCACACAAAATCTAAATTCAGTAAGTATACCAAATGTTTGTAAGAATAAGCTGACAAATCCCACCTTGAGTTGCATTTGGTTCATATTTTGGTAGGTTACTGCTGATTAAATTTGTGAATTTAAGGACAAAATGTGAGGAGAATGTCCACACATGATACAATCTGAATATTCTTTTTCTTCTTTTTGTTAATACTATGCTTATGAGCAGCTATGCCTTTTAAGAATTATTATGTGCGAAATGGAGTTAAGCTGCAACTTTGAGCAGTGAACTCAGAGTTCAGACCCTAGGTAATGGATGTATTTAAATGTATTGGTTGTGGATTGTGCATTAAAATTTCGATGACATGTGAGGACTAATTTACAAAGTTCTTGTATAGTATTGCTATTGTACTTAGACCAAATCCTCCTGTTGTAGTATTTACATTGTTGGATGGAGATTTATTATGTACATAAATGATTTAATGGCTGAATTGCCACGTATGTGCTGTATTTTCACAATGTTGGATATTGGTCAAACAAAAATACACGGGGCCTTGGATTTACTGTGCAGAGCTAGATCCTATTGAACTTTAGTTGTAGGAGGGGGTTAATTTGCTTGATTTATGCAAGAATGCTGTGATTCTCTATGATTTTATTAATATGACAAATGTTAACGTATCCTTATGGTTGATTTTAAGCAACTAAAACTGACATTTTTATTGGGAAAGAAAGTATTTATTACATTGAGATGCAAAAGTGTAATAAATGTTTTCTTTTTCAACAGCAACTTACTACTTTTCAATGTTTATAATTAGCCCTGGATGATGTTTTAAGAAAACTGTATTAATAATGGTAATATATCATTCAAGGTTAAGGAGAAGATGATACCAATACTTTGTTTTAGGGCATTTACTTTGAGGGATGGGTTGAGAGGAAAGAACTCGTTGCTTATTTTTAGTAGAAACTTGTAATTTTTGTTGAGTAGAATTAGGGTTTCTTTTGGGTGATGGTGATGGATGGGGTGGGAAGTTAGGGAAAAAATTGTTTTCCTTTTTGTAATTGGACATGATAAATAATTCCTTTTATTTCATGTTAGTCCAGCTGGTGGGGGTCAATTTGGTCTGCCCATTTACTTTACTTGAATTTCATTATTTTTGTTTATAGATACTAGTATTTGACTGATGGGAAGAGATAAAATTGGGCTGTAAATGTAATGTGGTTATGTTGTACTATAGCATTTACATCGTTCATTAGACACGGATATCTGTGGCTTGGAGTGATGAATAAGTGAATGAGTCATCCTAAAACTAATTGTGCCACTATAGTTATGGTTGGTTGTACAGTTCAAACTACACATATCCTGCTTACATGATTGGTCCTAATTCGCATATTTTCTTCCATTTTTTCAATCTTATATTTCTGCAGGAACCTTATAAAGCTGACAAAGATGGTCAAGAATGCTCTTCGCAATTTGAGTGTATGTCTCATAGATTACAGAGTGAAGCTAATGGACATGCAAATGTTATGCATAATGGATTTTCTAGAATGTCAGATGGCTGTGGTGCAACTGACAGGTGTCAGCGTGTGCTTTGCAATATCTTAGCCTCTGAGAAGTTCAATTCGTCATGTAAATTGCTACATGAAAATTTCCAAGGAATGAAAACTGAAAGTGTATTTGACTTTAGTGTGATAAACTCAAGGATGAAGGGGCGAGCTTATGAACAATCACCTACACTTTTCTTATCAGATATTCAACAGGTAATTTATAATAATAGCTTCTCTATGAACAATTTTTACATGGCTATATGATTTTGCTTAAGAAAGTTTGAAACATTTAGATATCTGGATATGTGGTTTACCCAAGTATCGTGATGATGATGTGTTATAACTGTTTACGAAATCTTTGTTTTGTCTTTCTCTTTTTCTTTTCTTTTTGTTGAAAATCTTGTTCTTTTTTTAGATATAGTAATTCATTAACAATGTTGTCAAAATCGAGATCCTACATAGGATTGAGACGGGGTAAAAGATTGTAGGATCCTACTTGTAGAATTAAGAGAGAGAGAGAGAGAGAGATTAGTGTGCTGGAATTAGATAGGTACTCTACAATGTGTAGAGACCCTTATATTTATAAGGATACATATGTAACCCTAATGGGCCAAACCCGTTATTATGATACTACATAAACCTAATCCTAATAACTCTATTATAACTATTCATAACACTACTAAATATACAAAACTATACTTAAACATATATACAAGTATAGAGAATAACATAGATAGAGAAACTAACCTCTAAATAACATAATTTAACTAAACATAACTTAAAATTCATAAACTTAAGATCCAATACACAATAATTAGTTGAATAAGAAATGACATAAATTTTTCATGAAAAATATAAATCCATAAACCCAACAGTACAAGTTTTCAAGTCTATTAAAATAGCATTAATGATATTTTGCAAGCCCCAATCAGGATAATCATCTTTATCAATAGCATTCACTACTCACAAAATGAAACAGTTCAACCAACAACTCTACTTGACTGAATCTCCTTTCCTTTTCCACTGACACCAACCTCATTCCTAGTAGTATTGGTATTGGAAGCCATGTAGACAAAACAGAACACAAATGGAAGATGCAAGACAAAACACAAAGTAGAAAAATGGAACACCTCACAGCAGTCACAACTCAAACTGAAACAGTAGCACATGAGAAAAGACAGAGAGCACGAACCAAGTTGTTGCATGAAGCACCCACGCAGAGAGCAACCCACACATCGAACAAAGCACCCTTGCAGAGAGCGATCCAGTCATTGCACAAATGACCAACGCTGAGAGCAATCCACTCGTTGATTGAAGCACTCATGCAGAGAAGATGAACAAAGTTCCAAAACAGAAGAGAAAACACAGGAAGGTGTTGTTGCACGAGACTAGGATTCTAATACAAAAAACCAGGTCAAAAATTAATGGAAATGGTAATTTTCTAACTGGGTCATTATTGACCCAAAAACAAAGATCAGAGCTAATCATGGATCCTACTATTTTAGGGAGAAAGATCGTTATTCAGTGCAATCCTGACAGCTTTAGGTAGTTAAAATTGGGATTTTACTTCAAATTGTAAAGGGGAGTAAAAATTGTAAATCGAATTGTAAGATTTTACAAAATCATTTATACATACATATAAATTCATATTATGCACTTAATAAACTTGAAGAGCCAGCGGCAATGGAGTTATTAGTTGCAGTTGGGATAGACCCACAACCGCCACCATCTGAGCTTTCACCAAAACCCGTGTTTGAACCCTTTTAAACTTGAACAAGATAAGACCAGCAGAGCAAGATCAGAAGAAAACCAAAGAGCAGAACAGAGCAAGATTGGAGCAGAGGAAATCACGAAATGATCGTGAAGGAGACACAGTCACGGTTGGCTGCAAACCAGATTGCACATTGTCGCTCACTAATATCGTCTAGGGTTCAAGGAAGAAAGAAACAAAGATGGCATAACTAAGTTTAGGAGGTCGAAACTTAGGTTTGAGCAAAAATATAAGTGGGGTCATTCAAAATTGGGCCATATCCATCAGGTTTATGAACAAACTGGGCTGAGATCCGGATCCAAACCTGGGATTTCATGAAATCCGTGTGAAATCCTGATTTTACCAATTTTACTATTTAAATCCTGATTTCAATTGGGAACATTTTTGCTGCAGTTTGAATCGTTCTGTCTTCCAAAATTGTAAAATCGTGTGATTTTACAATTCAACTCCCGATTCTAACTAACCATGTCAACAGCTTGTGATCCCACATGCAATCACAACATTGCAAGAAGATCGTGTGATCTTATATAATCTTGATCGCGATTTTGATAACATTGTTCATGAATACTAAATGAACAATCATGAATACTTTTTGCATCCAATGTTTAAGTTTGATTCCTTGAAAGATTCTTTCATTGGATACTAAACATGTTTATTTTTTTATCTATAAAAACACAGTGAAAACAGATTTGGTATTGATTTAAATAACTTTTTTTTTTTCAAAGAAAAACTCCTATTTAACCCAGAGAAATAGTTTCTCTGTTGTTATTCACTTCTTGAAGATTTCCTGTTATAAAAGAATTATAGTGTAAAATTCAGAAAGTGAAGTTTCCCTCATTAAGAAAAAGTGAGGATTGTAATTGCAGGACCAATTTGAGTATTTAGTCATTTGCTGGAGGAAATGGCAATATATTAAAAATTTGAAAACTTAAGGATTGCTAAATATTTTTCCATACTGCTTGATCCATAAAATTCCAGTGAACTGACCTGAATTTATGCTGGGGGTGCCTTTTCTATTGGATTCATACAGTTCTTGGTTGTTTTTGTCTGTGTTGTTTATGATTGAGCTTTGAAGCTACTTTGGTGACTATGCTTGATTAAGTTTGGGCATCTTATGTTTATATATCTTCAAACTAAGTCTGGTAAAATGCTTGTTATTTACACAAACTGTTGAGTTGACCTGGTTATGTTCTCATGTCTTGCTTCAAGGAATAAATCATATATGGTACAAATGTATCTAAAGAATTCGATGATTGAATTCACTGTTCTTTATTGAAACTTAATGATACAAAATATATAAAGCTGATTAGAACAGGCACTCAGAATTTCTTGGCCCAGATTTGGTGCACTAGAATTGGGTGTAATTGGACGATACAGTATTCAGAGCTAATTAATGGAGGAGAAAAAACTAGCTAAATAAGAAAGATATTATAATTAAAAAATTATTATCTGATACAGGAATTAATTATAATATTTCCTATTAACTTGTCCTAATCAGAATTGTTCATAATCTTCACATCTCTCAAGCAATCCCAGCTTGGAACTTAAGTTTTGTAGGTGATAGCCAGCAAAGACTCTGTGAATATATCAGCAATTTGACGGTTTGAGGATTGTAGTTATTGTTGATGATTTTGATAAGAATCTTGGGAGAAGCATATTGCAAAAAGCTAGCCATCTTAGTTGGAAAGTTCATGGCCATATAAACCCCACATTAGAATTCTATACTTTCAATGGGGGACTCAAGTTCCATGCATTGCAATTAGATCCTAACAGATTTCTTCTTCAATCTTCCCCCTAATGAAGATTCTATCGATCTCTACATACTTGGTTTTGTGGTGATAAACTGAATTCTTTACAGTGCTGATTATTATTGGATTGTCATGGGATGACTTTATTGATCCTTCATTTGTGAGCATCAACTCATTAAACATTTTCAGCCACTCCCTCACTTATGCCATTTGCCGATGTTTTTGGAAATCAGCCTCAGTGCTGCTACTGCATGCTACCATGGATTGTTTTTGGCTTCTCCTTGTTTCCATATTTCCTCACACATCATGCAATAATCATATGTGGATCTGTGACATATTGAAATTAGGAATGAGTTAACTAAGAGCATAAGTTGGGTTAGGATATCGTAGGAAAAATATAGTAAAATTCTGGCTTAGGTAGGAATGTGTAAAAACGAGTAAAAGCCCTAATTAGGAGACTAGATCATATCAAAGGTAGCTTTAGGTCGAGGGAGTGCAAGAAAAACTATAGGTGAAACCATTAAGAAGTATTTATTAGATGCTTGGTTTGTGTAGGGACCTGATTTGCAATGCAACAATAATTAAGCCTTATCTCACTAGGTGATGTCGGCTACATGGATCACATGACGTCATTGAACTTGTTCAGAACTCAAATTTTCAAAAATCTGGTTAATCAAAAGCTCTCTTTAAATAACTTCATCCAAGGTTCTTTTAGGTCTTTCTTGACCCCTCTTTACTGGACTTTAAGTCATGCAATCCACTCTGCTTACTGCCGTCACCAAAGGTCTTCTCTGCACAAGACCAAACCACCAGTCATCTTTTCTAACAAGTGTTATTCCAATATTCTCTTGTATACTATCATATTGTATCATGTCTTTTTTTGTGTGTCTATTCATTTATCTTAACATTATTATTTTTGTCACTTCCACTTTTTTGTCATGTTTTTTTAAGGCTTAAAATTCACTACCATATAGGATAACTGATCGTATTGCAGTACTATCAAACTTTCCTTTCAGCTTGATAGGTACTTTATAGTTACAAATAACTCATGATGTCTTTCTCCATTTTAACCTCCCAACTTGTATTTTGTGACTAACATCTTCATTACTTTTTCTATCATTTTGTATAATTGATTTAAACTTGTGGTATAGTATCATCTCCAAGTTTAATTTTCAATGCATGATTCTCATCTTGTTTTTTGCTAAACCTACCATTCATGTACTGTCTTATTTCTACTCAAGCAAAAATTCCTAGATTCTAAAGTCTTTCTTCATAATTCAAGTTAAACATTAACCTCTTTTCAAATATTGGACTGATACTATATCATCTTCAAGTAGCATGCATCAAGGGATAATATTTTGTATGTCATTTGTAAGTATATCTAAAACAATATTAAACTAGTAGGGGCTCAAAGCTGAGCCTTGATGTAAACCTATTCTAATTGGAAAGTCTTTAGATATGCTTCCAAAAGTTCTCACACATGTAGTTACTCTCTCGTACATGTCTTTTATGGCCCAAATATATCTTACACTGACTCTTTTCTTTTCTAAAGCCTTCCATAACACTTCTCTTGGTATCTGATCAAATGTCTTTTTCAAGTAAATAAAAATCATGTGTAAGTATTTTTCTTTGTAGAGATATTTTTTCATCATCTTTCGTAAAAGATATATAGCTTCTGTTGTAGACTTTTCTGACATAAAACCAAATTAATTTTCTGCAATTTCCGTTTCTTCTCATGTTTTATGTTCAATCACTTTTTACTACAACTTCATAGTGTGATTCATTAGTTTAATCCCTCTATAAGAGCCAAAGTGCTCTTCTTCCATTCATTTGACATATTCTTAGATTTCAAAATCTTATTAAAAAGCTTAGTGAGTCACTCTAGTCCTTGTTTTTCCAAACTTTTCCAAACTTCTAGAGAGTTATTATTAGGGCCAACCACTTTATCATTCTCCATTCTCTTAAGAGCTTCTTTTACTTCTTCAATTTGAATCCTACGGTAATATGCCAAATTTGGCTCATTCGCTTGCACTTCTAATCCTGTTAAATTTTTACTTGCTCATTGTCCCTTGTTAAGTTTATAGAAATTTTTCTCACATTGGTTTTTGATATCTTGATCTGAAACCAAAACTTTTCTTTCATCTTTAATACATCTAACTTGGTCTAAATTTCTAGATTTTCTTTCTCTACTTTTAGCAAGTTTATAAATCCTCCTTTTCCCATTCTTTATCTTGAAAGAACCCTTAAAAGACTTAGAACGTGCTTCACTCACTGCTTTTCTTGTCTTATTTCTTGCCTTCCGATACCTTGTCCAATTTTTAGCATTATTACATGTATACAAAGTTTTAAAAGAATTTCAATTATATATTCATAATTAATGATCAAAGGTCAGAGAAAATTTGAAAACTCGGTACACATTAGTAACAACATCAAGGGAACCAATATAGAGGTGGAACTGGTTCTTGATGCTATTCCCTATGGCTGAGTGGATAAGTCATTGTTTTACAAGTCACAGGTTCACCAGAATAGTTAATATTAACTAGTAAATGGTTGGAAAATGATGTGAGAAACCAAAAATGTCACAGGAAAAAAACAAATAAGCCTATCTCACTAGGTGAGGTCGGCTACATGGATGACCAATGTCATTGAGTTTAGTCAAAAACTAAATTTTAAGAAATCTGGTTAATCTAAATGTCTTTTTTAATAACTTCGTCTAAGGTTCTTTTGAGTCTCTCACCTCCTTTATACCAAATTAAAAATTATCCAATTCACTATCCTTATTAGTACTTTTAAAGATCTTCTCTGCACATGACCAAACTACATTAGACGATTTTTAGTTATATTTTTCATTATAGGTGTTACTTTAATATTCTCTCGTATGCTATCATTTGGGATCTTGTTATTTTTCATGTGTCCATTCATTTGCCTTAATATTCTCATTTCTTCCACTCCTACTTCTTGTGTTTTTTCTTTGAAGCCCAACATTCACTATTATATAAGATAAGTGATTGTATTGCAATACAATAATAAAACTTTCCTTTCAACTTTATTAGTACTTTATAATAACAAATTACTCTTGATGTCTTTCTCCACTTTAATTACCTAACTTGTATTTTGAATAACATCTGCATTAATTTTTTTATCATTTTATATAATTGATTTCAAGTACTTAAATCTGGAAACTTGTAGTATAATATCATATCCAATTTTAACTTTCAACATATTATCGTTATTTCGTTTTTTTGCTAAACTTACAATGTATATACTCTGTCTTATTTCTACTTAAGTAAACTACTAAAAACTTAGATTGTAAAGCCTTTCCATAACTCAAGTTTAGCATTAATCCTTTCTTTCAAATTCTTAACCAACACCTTAGATTCTCTCCTCCATGATTGTTATATATTTGTTTATTATCTTGGCAGTTCCAACTGGAAATTTCGAATGTATCACATTAGTGCCAATACCGAGTATCGAGGTTCCGGTATAGGTACAATATGGGTATGTTGCTAATTTTGAAATATCTGTGCATCATAGAAAGAAACATATTACTCAGTTAAAGAGGTTTCACCTTGCTGGAGGTTGTGAAGGATACATTTATCTCAGAAGGTTCATAAGTACTCCTCTTGTTGAGTAGGTTTGCTTGATGTTATCCTAGATTTCCTTTGCAGTTGAATAGAACTTAAAGTTTTGACCTATTTTCAAGTTCATGGTGATGGTAAATCTATGTACGAGTTCCAAGTCGGATTTGGATCAGACTTGGAAGGAGGATCAGTGGTGCTGGTAAGGTAATAATCCTTGCCTTTACTGCTGATGAACATGAGAACAAATTGAGATTAAATGAGCTAATATTTGCCGTTGAGTTTGTGCCTAGTGATGGGCATGTCTGAAACAGTGAGATTTCATATTGGATTGAGAGACATTGCTCCTGTTGAAGAGGTGAAGTTGGAGCTGCTGCTGCAGTAGGAAGCCTTGGCAGGAATTTAGGCTTTCTTTTGTATTTGAGAGTGCTTTGATACCTTAAAGATCAGATGGCTGAATTTGCTGCTCTCTATTGTAATCCTAATCCTAATATATGATAAATCTGTCATAGACCCCTCCATGTGTTGCGTTTTGGTGGAAAACTTTCCCACCTATTGACATTATTGTTAATTTCATGTGAAACATGGTTGCTATTTTTATTTGAAGAACATTTTGCTTTCTATTCCCATGCATGAGTGTGGGCACTGACGCTATATTGATAAAATGTATAACACTAAACAGTACAATAGAGGTGGTGAGGAGACCCATTTGTCATTTCTTGGTCCAGATCTGGTACACCAGAATTGGATATTCTGACCATACAGAGCTAATAAATGAGAGTAGACAAACCCAGCTAATTAAGGAAAAAATAGGATCCTAAAAATGTTCTGATACAATATTTCCTAAACTGAATAAATTACAGTAACTCATGTTAACTTGATTGCATCAGAATTGTCCATGATCTTCATTGTCAAATCAGAACCGTCCATAATGTTCAGTGTCATTTGAGGGTAATTCTTAGAGTGTGCTTGTTAATTTCTAGCCTGAGTGTAAGAAAGGAGAATTTTGTTTCTGGTTCTTATATGATTTAACCTTATTGATATTTTTAGGTTTGGAGAAAGCTTCAAAATACGGGAAATCAGATTGTTGCTATAGCTAAGAGCCTCTCCAACATGTCAAAAGCTTCCTTCTGCGAGCAGGTAAACAAAATCCTTGTAATTCTTTGCCAAAGCGCTGAGTTCCATACTTTTTTCTTTGCTTCTGAATTTTATTCTCTTCTTGCTTGTTTTTGCTTGTCTTTTGTAATCAAAATCTTCTAATATTTCATGTGCTGATCATCAACATATAGAAATAAAGTTTAACAAATCTGATTAAATAAATTTTCTTTAGCATCGGGGTTAAAGCTGCTTTGATCTACATAGATAAAAAATTTTCCTGGATTCCTAGTCCTCGCACACCACATCCACTCTTTGCAACTTCTATAGGAGATAATATTGGTTTTTATCGGAATATTACAAGTTGCAGTTTAATATTGCAAGATATAGTATAAAGAAGAATAACTGTTTCAGTTTTACAAACAAAGCATGAAAAAATTAAGAAAACCCCAAAGAGTTCTAACTCAATTGGCAGCAAATCTCAATGGGAACCTACATAATACTGGCTTCAAATCTCACTGAGGCTGCTATCCTCAACTTTGGCTTTCTCTGCCTCCCACTTTTGGTTTCAGGCCTCATTAATCATTAAGAATAAAAAGAAAAAAGTTACAACCCCTTTTTTTCTTTGCATCATCTAGCTATCTGATAGAGATTAATGTTATCAATTATGTGACTGAGATACATGATGTTGATACTTGATTACTAGTCATCTCTACTCAAAAGCATAAGATCTGGGACCAAATTTCCTTCTATCTTCTTTGTGTAGTTTTGGTTCAGCTATATCATAGATTAGAGAATTCCTCTTCTGTTGCATTATTTTGCATGATCAGAGACCATAAATTTCTTGTCTTCTTGTTTCGCATGATTTTCTGTTGAAACACTGAATGCATGAACAATGGGTTGTGGTGTATGAACAGAGTTTATCATGTATGTAACTATGTATTGAGTTTTTCCCTTACCTTTAAAACATTGTTTTCTTCTGGTTCAGAAAGATATGAGTAGTGTAGTTAATGTTTCCTCAGGTATAGGAATTTGTTGTAATCGGGCAGGAGTAGACTGGTTTGATTTTTAATGCCCTTCTATGTCTTAAGTATGTTTCTAGGTTTTGCTATTTAACTATCAATGATGTACAATGTCTGTTTAGACTGGACAGGATCTTCCTTCCATCTTATTCTATTAGTACCAAATGCACTTCATTTGATGAGAATTTGCTTGAGATTAACCGGTGATGAAAATTATTTTCATGTTGAACAGTTCTGTAATCATGAATCCAAATCTCACATGAAACCAGAGCAAAAAGAAGAATGTGCTACATACAAAATTGGCACTTGCAGGCATTGTGGAGACAAAGCAGAGGGGACAGACTGTTTGGTTTGTGATTCATGTGAGGAGATGTACCATGTATCCTGTATTGAGCCTGCTGTGAAAGAAATACCCCACAAAAGCTGGTTCTGTTCCAATTGTACTGCTAGTGGAATTGGATCTCGACATGAGAATTGTGTAGTGTGTGAACGGTTGAATGTCCCGAAGACCCTTAACTTTGCTCGTGACGAAAGCATCCCAACAAATGAGGAAACACTAAATGAATTGGAAGAGAATTCAAATTGTACTTATGATGGGGTTCAGGTTTCCGTAGGTGGGAGAAACTCTCCTGACTGCAAAATTTGTAAAATGAATTTGGAGGGTGAAAAGATAAAAGTCTGTGGTCACCCTTTTTGCCCCAATAAAAACTACCACATAAGGTGTTTGTCAAGTAAGCAGATTAAGTCATATGGTCGCTGTTGGTATTGCCCTTCTTGTTTATGCCAAGTTTGCCTCACCGATAAAGATGATGATAAGATTGTACTCTGTGATGGCTGTGATCATGCATACCATATCTACTGTATGAAACCTCAACGAAATTCTATTCCAAAAGGGAAATGGTTCTGCCGAAAATGTGATGCAGGGATTCAGGCAATACGTCAGGCGAGAAAGGCATATGAGATGAAAGCTGGTGAGAGTGATTCAAAGCCAAATGATATTTTTGATAAGAAATGGAACAATAAGCGAGGAAGGGAATCTGACAAAGTTGGAGGAATGGACATGCTTTTAACTGCAGCAAATACCCTGAATTTTGAAGAGGACTTACATGCAATCCAGATTGACTCAGAGAGAACATTAACGTGAGGGCATATGTGCTAATTGCTAATAACTAATATTTCATATTTCCTGCATTTGTTTTTAGATGACTGATTTTGTTAGATTGTAAAACTGTTAGATTTTGCTGAATTTTGGATACATGCCATGCCGTTGGAAAGAAAGGATTATAGAGAGCAAAAAGCATCAACAGAAATTGTGATGATTAGAGAAGTCTGCGAGATTCAGCAGGTCAGATACTACTTGTAATATACTGTTGTAATAGATTCATTTGAAATTCAATTGGCTGGTTTATTTCACCCACAATATGATATTTTGGATTGCTCCCAATATTTCTTTAAATTTGTATAATCGATGCCCAATTGATTGATAATAAAAAAAGGAGTGACTTTTTATCCGTTTAGATTTCACTGTTTCAGAACCAAATTTGCACCAGTCTTGATCTGAATTCTTGAAGTTGATATTTTATCCGTTCAATGAATGATGACTTGGAGCATTTGAAAGAATTTTTATGGACTTTATTGAGTTTATGAAAATAAATTGACTTTTAAAACAAAATTTTAGCTTATTTTAATAAATTTTATTATTAAATATATAAAATAAATTTTATTGAATTAAGTATTTTTTTTTGGTCAACGACTTAAACTACATATTCAAACGCTTCGGGTCACCTCTAGCAATGCAAAGCCTTTACTGTGATAATTTCTTTTCTGGAAATTTGGAAACTGCCATTCGCTATTTATTAGATAAAATTTTAAAGCGAGATGGTTTATTTGAATAATTAAAAAAAATTTAAAGTGAGATGTTTAAGTCCTAAAGGAATTTTTGTAGTTTAAATAGTTAGGCTTTAAGGATCGAAAGCTAGGTGGAATGGCTATATTGAACTCCTATAATTTTGCATGTTAAAAAAAAAATTATATGTAGTTGATGTAAATGCTAGTCATGAGTAGCAACTAGAGCAAGAATAAATCTCATAGATGAGTTTAACAGCAAGAGAGAATGTTTTAAAATGATCTAGTCCTTCCTTTTCTGTGTATTCCTTAGCAATTGGGCAAGGTTTATATCTTTCAATGCTTCCATGAGCTTTTAATTTGACTTCGTATATCCGTATGTCCATTCACAATTAATTGGTTTCTTTCCATAAGAAAGATCAATTATAATCCAAGTTTAGTTTTATTCCAATGCAACAATCTCTTTATCCATAGCTTGTCGACAACATTCATGCTTGATAACATGATTGTATGTTTTTGGTTTAGGAATTTGAGCGACAGAGAAGACAATTTTTTCTTTTGTAGTGATTAGATAATTTATCATAAGACATAAAATTATTCAAAGGATGAAACATTTCTGAAGAACATTGTTTTTATGTAATGACCTTGAAGCGGCGGCAAAATGAAAATGATGAATAAAAAATGGGATAGAACGATATACAAATTAAAGTAGTTGATATTAATATTTTGAAAGAACTTTAGAAAACTTAGAAAATAATAATTTATTTAACTATATCACAGTTCAAGAGTTTAATTACACATAAAAAAATGTATTAGCATCCCATGAATTTTGTAAATATGGTTACCTTAAATTAATAAAATTAAAATTTTACTTTTATCTTAAATTTGATATTTTATTTGTTAAAGGGATGAGAGAAAAAATAAATTTTTAAAATAAGTCAGTTCAAGGAATTTTAAACCCTTACTCCTATCTATTTTTTGGTGTAGTAAGAAAATTAAGGTCATGTAATTTTTTAAAATTATTTGATTAAAAACAAAAAGGAGAGTATTACGGAAATTTTTGTAAAGAAATTAAAAAAAAAATTATTGAGAGGTTGCGAGGAAAACTTAAAAGTAAAAACTTTTTTGAAAGGTAAAATTAAACTGAGAACAAACAATTTATTAAATGATTTGAGAAAAATATTATTTTTTAGGTTTTATAAAATAGGATAAAAAATTTAATTTTTATATATGTGAATGATAGAGTACTTTATATATCACTATCATTAATTGATATATAGATTTAAAAATTTATTTTGATTAAAAAAATATTGCAAAAACTTTTAAAATAATATATATAATCTTTGAAACAAAAAAATTAGCTCAAGAGTCGTTACGTGTAGTGAAGGCACCAGCACCCTATGACGTCAATTTGAATAACAGTAACCTTAAATTAATTGTACAAATTTATATTAATTTTAAAAAATATTTATTTAACCCCTAAACAATGATTATTGTTATTCTTATTTTAAAAGAAGATATTATTTATTGAAATGTTAATTAGTATCTTAAAAGAAAAAGAAAAAATTATATTAACTTGATGGGTTTAGTTCCCGTTCTTACGTATCTCCAAGTGTAACGCAGAATTTAAAGTCATGTAGTTTTATTTAAAAAATTATAAAATTATTTTATTAATTATCAATTTATAAATTTGAAAAAAAATTGTTTTAAAATTAATTATATTTTCTTAAAAAATGAAATCGTTTATATCTTTTAGGATACAATAAAACACAACTATATATTCATATAATTTATAAAAGGCGAAAGAAAATCACACATTCATATTGTAAGTTGTTGTAAAAAGTGTGGTAATTAAGACTAATATTTTAATTTATAAAAAAGTATTTTTATTATATAATTTAATTCAAAAATTTAATATTGAAGAAATATAAGACAAAGTAAACTATACATAAGTATCTCATGACTTATTCGTCGACTGAAGACGATGTAAATCACACATCTATATCGTAAAATATTATATAATAAAATAGAGAAGTATACATAAGTAATCAAATGTTTTGGTTATTTAATTTATCAAGGTTGGAAACATGATTTAAAAAATTTTTAAGTATGAAATTAATTGTATTTAATAAAATGAGGGGTATTTAAAGAAAACAAACTAAAAAATATATTTAAATTGATTAGTAAAAATAAATATTTAATTAAGAAAAATTAAAAATATTTTTAACAAATTTGTATTGCATGAGACCCAAGAAAAAGTTGGTATAAGAAGATTTCAACGATTTAAAATATACAAAAGTAGAGATGCTACACAATGATGTTACATACCGCTGCATTAATTAAGTGATTTAATTTTAATTTAATTAATTGATAAATTAAATTGGATAATAAAATGTAAAAATATAATACATTTTGATTAATTAATAAGATGAGATAAATAAAAAAAGGAACATTCTTTAATTGATTAATAAATTATATAATTTAAGAGCAGAAGATTTTTAGCCAAATTTTTTTTAATAAAACAAATATAGAATTCATTAATTTTATAAAATATTTCATTTTTAAATAGATTGATAATGCTAACAACATAAAATAACTTAGCTATACACATGTCTTGACAATTTATAACACACAAAGGTAGAATTGCTACACAATAGTGTCACAAGTTGTTGTACTTGACTTAGTCAATAAATTAATTGCCTAATTATTTATTATGTGAAGAGAGAAACGTTTAAAAGAAGACATTTAGATTAATCGGTGAAATAATTATCTAATTAATATAAGATAAATTATAAGATTGTATTGATAAGATGATAAATTTTATTTATTTATTTTAAACTTAATTAATAAATTAATGGTATGATAATTAAAACAAAAATATTTGAAAGAATATATTTTAAAGTGTGAAATATTTAATTGATTTAAAATAAAATATTATTTAATTTAAAATATTTATATCGCATGAAGTCAACAGTAACATAAATTATATTGGCTTTGACGATTTATAATGTATAAAGATAGAGACAATATAAGTTAGTATTATAGATCGTTACATTAATTAAGTGAATCAATTTAATTAATAGATAATGTTGGTATACGTATACTTTGACAATTTATAACGTAGAAATATAGAATTGTTACACATTAAAGTTATAAATTGTCGTGTTATAATTTGATTTTAATAATTTAATTATAAATTTGATTTTTAATTCTTAATTAGATGTATAAATATGTATACATTTTAATTTTTAATTAATTACATAAAAAATTATCATTTAAGGAGGTTTAAAATAATGTAAATACTTATAAACTTTTATGCTATTATAATAAAATAAAATCACAAAATTGAAAAAGTTATAATGCATTTGTCGATAAAATAAAGATGAAATTAATATTTAATGATACAATAATAACTAAAGAGAAACAACAAATGAAGATACAAAATAGAAATAATGATCAAAACTTCTACATTAAAATTTTAATAATGTTAGCTGAGTAGAGGTAAAGAATAATATGACTACTGACCAGGAGCAAAAATATATATAACAAGATGAAGTAATGGATTTGTATTTATAACTTTTCAATTGTAATATTTACTTATAAAAAAAAATAAGAACTAGTACAAAAGGAACATATACAAACAGTGAGAATAAAACATAAAGATTTTTGAGTGTGATTGAAGATGTTTTGTTTATAATATATTTTTTATGTAGATCAAGATGATAAAAGAATATGGTCATGTTGTACTGTGTCTCAGGATACAATAAAATTATTCGGTTTAGAGTTATTCATAGTGGTGTATAATAATAATAATTAATATGGCAATGGAGAATAAATAGTTAATTAAATATTTTAACTGCAACACAAAGTGCATTTCATGTGCATTTTAATAAACTTAAACATAAAATTCATAAATCATGATATATCAAGTAGAGGAATACAAACATTACTTGAGTCAATGAGTCGATAATGATTTGTAGTGAAAGTCTGATTTCTCCTCCTCCTTCTTCTTCTTCTTTTTTTTTATCTATTTCATGAATGCTTCAAGCACCTAATATGAATGCTTGCTCCTTGTACTAGAATTTTTTCTTCCCCATAGTGTGTTTTAGAAGAACCTCTTGCTCTTTTGATCTAGAGTCTTTAGCCCCCTTCTCCTTTTTATTTGTGTACATTGTAACTCTCCATCCGTTACTGCCTCTTTTCACAATTCTAGCCTCAATTTAAGACTTGCAGGCAGCGGGAAGTACATCAACAAGGAACCGTCTCATCATACAAATATTTCTTTTTTATTTCCTGATTATATTATTACTTAACATCATCTAAAAATATCATTTGGTTTGATTTATTTTATATTTTTGTTTCTTTGTTATTTTTTTTAATTTTCCAATTAAACTTAAAATAATAATAATAATAATAATAAAAATAATAATATTAAAATATAAACAAATATGATAACAACGAATCATACAAAATAAAATTTGATAAAAATATACCTCACATAAAATTGAGTGTTTAAAGTATGATTAGGTGAGTGTACCACATGTAGTTATTGGAATCATAAGATAAGATGAAATAGGAAATTAAGCATATTAAACTTAATTTTCATCTTTTAATTGGTTATTGAATTAACAAGCTCATATATTCTTTATATTTTTCCTTTCTTTCTACCTT